TCAGAATACCCGTTGTATTTTTTAGCCTGATGACGCTAACAGAAACCAGCCTGTGAGAATTAAGTTTCGCATGTATATTGGTATAACCAGACGAACTAGAAATCCAGAATTTAGCGAAGCGTAGCAACCAGCACGCATGTATTCGAATTGGCGAATATGTACAGCATATGGAATATTAAAACAAAAGAATGATGAATAGAGCAATGAATAGAGTATCAGTCATGTTCATCACATCTTGATTGCGAACCCTCAGCGTTTTCGCCATGCAACTTCTAATCTCGGTGTGTAGCCCGGATTTAATGTGTCCAATGAGTGCTGGGAGTCCGAATTCGGACCAAAGTGCAGTATGAGGGGGCTATCACCGTTGAGTTTCCGCTTTTCCTCTTTCCGGAGCTCGGGCGTATTAGGAAGTCGGCTCAAAATGGGTGTGCGGGAGCTGATTGGCTGGTGCCTCAAATAGATTTTCTGAAGGCTGAGCGCAAGCTGCGGATAACGGGGTTAGCTCTGAACATTTTGCAATAATTTCAGAAAAGTCTTTGCTAGATCCCTCCCTTATGACCGGCTGCGAATTTTCTGCTATACCCAACCACTTTGTAGTTGATAATCGAGTTTGTGACCGCTCATTCTGACGCACGATGAATGCCAGTAGAAGATGGAATACCAACTTCAGTAAGGGCACTTCAGGGGAACTCCGCCCATCCTTTAGCGAAGATTTCGCTCCAAACACGTGCGCGTTCATTTGTAACTCCGCCGGCTCCAAAGAAATATCGCTATCCGGTCACCATAAGAACTGAAGGGCACCTCTATCGTTTTCCGGAACGCGGCTTGCATAAACATCTCTTCTATGTCAGCCGAAGGTGCTACGCGCTCCCTGCAGAAACGCAAGAGCACCGCTATCGGGTCGACTGTCCAATCTGGACCTTGATAGAGGCAGTCATTTGGAGATTTCTTGTTGAATTGTGCTGCACAAACACCACCCTCAATTTCCCAGGCTTCTTCGGATTGACGATAGATTGATGAGGTAAATACCACCGAGGACGGAACTCGGGACTCAACTGATGTAGCGGCACTGGCGAAGCGTATCCCATCTTAAAGTTGCGTTCTATCACAGCGCTATGCTGCTGGAAGTAGATCACATCCTTCAAGAAACGCCTTTTCAAACTCTGCAGTCGCACGGCTGCCATCTGCAGGTCGGAACTAGTACAATTGATATCGTCCGTCCATGGCAATGGGATAACGAACTAACTATTAATCACACGAAGCTTTGCTTTTACCCACTCCAAAACGCGGTTATCTTCGGGGGATAGGGCCAAATTAAGCGAGTTAACATCTGCAGACTCGTCATTGTATAGCCGATTCAGTTGTTGCAGGATGTTCGGATCTTCGCGAGATAAGCAATTTACAGAAAGGTGACACCGTCGTTACCCCCTGCTGGACCTAAGATAGTCCATCCGAGGGGCGTTTTCAATCCAAACGGCTGTTTACATACCCCAAACCGCTGGTTCAGTACCTAATGTGCATCTGGTTCGTCACATCCGATCAAAATTGCAACATACTTGCGTGGTATGTCGGTGATAGACAAGTCGTCCAAATGCGCATAGCACCTTGCCGGTGCTATACGAGATTCGACGTTAACGGACGGCAAAATACTAGGCACAACGAACGCTTTCTCAATATTGACCCAAGTGCTGTCTAACAGGGATCCGATTTTTAAGTGCTCCATGCAACATTCGGATAGACAGGTAACACTTATGGTCTTAATAGTCAATTCTGATGGGTGTGGCGGGATGCCCACTTTATGCAACACGTCGTGGCTCACCAGGGTAGTGTCGGAGCCATTGTCTAACAACGCGTAGATAGCGAGCTCGCCTAACGGTCCTTTAATGCGGACCGGGAGCAAGCCCAACGCTGTTGATCTTTGACGTTTATTGGCTGCGTTACAGGTGCCCCGTACCGAGCGCGAAAGATCAGGCGTGGTGTGTAGCAAGTAATGGTGACATGCCTTGCATTAATTTACACCACATTTGCGTTCGGTGTTGCATGCCTTGGTCATGTGCGCAGCCTTCAAGCAACGGAAGCACATCTTACACCCCTTAGCCACATCTCAGCGTTTACTACACTCAAACTCCGCAAACTTTACGCAGTCTGTTAATGGATGCGGTTCCCTACAAAGAGGACAGGATTCGGATGTCTTAAAAACAGCGTTAACGAATGAATGTTGCCTTTGACGTGTTGCTTTGGCAGGGTTTTCTGGGCCGCGCGACACTTGTTGGTTTGGTCGGCTATCGTGCCAAACCTAATGTTGGATACCCTTGCTCTGATATACATGAAGTTACAGAGATCTCTAAACGTCGGTTCACGTTCATCCTTCGTTACATCATCGACGTATTCGGCCCACTTCTGCTGGAGCGATATTGACAGGCAGCGGACCAACCGTTCGAGAGTTGACAGGGCGTTCAGGTCGGCCTCATAACCCATCTGTTTCAAGGCTATTTCGTAATTCTCCAGTTTTATTGTGAGCTCTAGCAAATCAGCTGGAGAAGCCGAGAACACCCTAAACCTTTCACGCAGCCCATCTAATAACGATCGGACGACACAATAGGACCTGCCAAAAAGCCTACACAGAATTTGGCGAGCACGTCCACAGGCTTCTGGGTGTGGAAGTACCATGCACTCTTCGATGGCCTCGCGCGCTCTCCCTCTGCAGTAATGCAGCAAGCAAAGCAACCTCTGCCCATCATCAATCGTTCTCGACTCAACATAAAACTCAAACTGACGAATGAATTTCAAATACTCGTGCAAATTGTCGTCGAATTTAGTCAATTCGACTCTGGGGAGGTCCATCGAAGAAGTTAAAGGGGCTGGCGTATGATTACCAGCCATACACCCTTCACTGTTGCGCTTAGGGTGGTGCTTCCCTAAGAGATACCCTTTGGTGGGGTCATCCCACACTGGTATATCAGCCGATTTGGATGTGGTTGCAACTGGAACATTATTAGCGTCAGACTTAGGCTCGCGGTATGACAGTCCAAGTTCATATTGCCTGCGGCATTCCTCAGCGTAAATCGCCACCCCTGAGGGCGCAGAAATTGACTCAACATCGGCACGCGATTCATCCTCGGAGCAAGAGAGAGTGTGCATTAAACGAGCAGCTTCTACGTCGTTACAAGCTTTCATTAGCTGGATCTGAGGGTCCTGCTCATCCCTAACACTTTCTGTAGCTGACTTCGCTTTATCTCAGCTAATAATAAGGCTGACTCGGATCTCCTGCTACACCTGCTATCTCTAGACACAGCCGAAGAGCCCATACAAGAATGAGTATCACGAAGCACTTGCCTGCCGTCTGTTTGTATAGCCACTTCTCCACGGTTCTTCTCATTTAATACACCGCTCCTTGTTCTTGGCATTTTCGACGAAATTCAAGGAAATTGTTGTCTTGTCAAGTAGTGTAAGCGACAAAATCGATAAGTCGAGCAACGAGCACCGAAGAATGGGTCCGAATTCAAAACGAAAGTGATCCCGACGAAAATGTGCTGTACTGTATGACAAAATATCAATAAATCAATTAATGTACAACAAACCTTGACAGTTATCGACCGACAGTTAGACCCACGACAAAAACGGAGACGGGTATCAAGCGTGAGAAACCAGTCCGAAAAGTGCCAAAAATGTGAATTCAAACAAGTGATAATACGGTTCATTTGAGAAACCAAGAACATGTTCATAGTTTGTGCAACGCAATGTTTTAATGGAAGGAATAGAGACGGGGTGATGCGATAATAATAAAATGTTAATGAATAGCAGGCAGGATTGGGCGGGACATTTGAAGTTATGCAGTTGAGTTCTGGGAGATTGAGTGGGAGAAATTTTCAAGCGTTTTGTGCGTCACACTACTTACAACTGAGCGTTGCAATGAGTGACGAACCCTACTCGTACGCGATTGGTGAACAATCGATGCGGTGGTTTGTTCGGCGGCCAAGCGAGCTCTGATTTGTCGGAAATATGGATTTAATGGCCAATAGTATTCTAGCGTCACTGGAGTACCGGACTTCAGCGCCCCATATAGTGTAACATACGGCACCTGCCATTTTGATTTATTTATGTGTAAGTAGTGATGATGCGTAGGCTTACTTAGTGGTTTATCGGCTCATGAGCTTTCTTTCTATGTTTTCTCCACAGAAATTGATGTGAACATCTGCCTGCGGAGAATCACTCTCCCGATACTTCCATTACGTGCATACTACATATTTAGCGACCACTCCCGGATGGTTACCATACATTGGTTGTTCTGCCACGGAGTCCCTGGTACTAAACGAATGTATACAAGCGATAGAGCTAATACTCGCACGACCGAAGCAATCCCAAAGGCTCACAGAGGTTGCCGGACATCCTCTGTACATGCTCAATTGCTTCATGCATCACATCACTTTCACCAGGCGGTTCCCGTAGGCCATCGTACACCGAGGACGTTGTTCTTCAAAAATGGGCCGGTGCAGTATGCGGCGCTTCTTATTTTGACTGATTTATATGTAGGTATACCTACATATACTGAAGCCCAGTAGGCGAGGTTGTATACAATATATTGTATACAACCTCGCCTACTGGGCTTCGGTTCATGTGCTTTCTTTCCCCGTCCCGTCCATGGAAATTGTCATGAACACCTGCCTTCGGATAATCACTGCTTCTTGGTACTTCCATAGCGTGCATGGTACACTAGTAATTCGGCGATTTATGCGCGGGTACGGGGCATTTGTCCAAGCATCTTGGGTCAGAAGGGCTCAGTGGTTGTTGTCACATACCTGCTTGGAAGGCAGACGTCGAGAACACTACCTCAACTGCGTGTTGTTCATCAAAATATTGACAACTTGGTGGGTGGTGGAAATAAGCATCCAAAGTAGTCGTGAACTAATTGGAGTCAGCGATGACAGTATTTTGGAGTGAGCTTACAACTCGCAACGAGAGAAGGCGTTACCTTGCGGAAATGCGTTACCTTACATTGCACTGCCTTTTTCTGTGCCCCCGCCTGTTTTTCGTGCGGCGAAAGGCGAAGACTGATGCATTCAACCCATTTTTGGAAAGTAATCAAGCTGGGACCAGGTCCAAAGTCGCCTGTAGTCAGGGCAGAGGTCAAGTGATTTCAGATGCCTCCTGCAGTACACAGGCCGAGGACTTGCAACAGCTTTCTTGGCTGTGCGTCCAAGACATTCATCGCGTCATTAGTCTCTTTTTAGGACAGTGTCGAGAGAAGGAACCCTCTATCGTCTTAAGGGCGTGTGCTTTGTATGCAGCTTTCTTATGGTTTAGAACAACTAGATACCCAGATTCCGCACCCAACCGGGGTATTTCCTAGTGTCCGTCACTGCGTCACGAAGGCGGTTCTAGACTCCCCGCAGGAGGAACTGTTGAAAGAAGCTACCAGTCTGGAAGCCGACGAGTTTCCTGTGTGCATTTGGTGTCGGAGTTCCAGAACTTGCGATCCTCAGCAGATAGAAGGGCTAGGACGGTCACAAAGTCTGGTAGACTAATAACGTAGATTATAAAAGGTCCGCCTCAAAGTCCATCCCCTCATTGTGGCGCGACGGTGCCGACTATTGTGACTTGTGTTGCAATGGGCTACCGAGAGTCTCTCGACCTCCATGGAGTACCACTAAGCCCCATCAAGTGCATCGTGGACCTTGGTTGCTCTGATTATATCATCCCGAGTAGAGACTCCGAATAAATGTAGCCTAAACTTAGTCACATCCGCCACTACGCTTCTCTGGTTGGACTGGGAATACATTCTGGAAAGATGAAATTTACTGCAAGCGTGGATTCCAGACTAAACTGCTTAGTGTAAACAGACAGCTCGTAAAACGAGCTGATTCCTTCAAGTATTTGGGCACGACCAGGCACTGAAAAAACAGAAGTTCGCTTCGACGGCGCCAGGAAGGCATTCGTACGTCTACACAACGCTTTATGGGAACAATTGGGAATCTGTCTTCAAATGGAGCTCTGTGTGCACACATCGGCCGTCCGATCCGTAGGAACATACGTTCGTGAGACCTGGTCTCTCCAAACCGTCGATCTTCGAAGACTGGGAGTATTTTACCACCGATGCCTAGGGAGAATGCCCAACGTGCGTTGGGACAACGTGATATTCAATGGATCGTTGTTACAACATTGCGCGCGTCACCAAGTTGATCCAGAAACAGTCTATGATGATTGGAACACGTCTTCCGGGCCGTTTAAAGTCTCTGGTTACTGGCCTTTTCCGGAAGACCAATAGAAAACATGTCCACAGTTAATCCTGAAGTTGTGCTCTTCGATCTGCAGGTGGTCTACGAGTCAAACTGTGGAATAGAAACTAAATAAGATGTTGTCTATCGTGATGCATGAGCTGTAGCGATTTAGGATAGACCTGGAGCCAAGCCATCCTCCAGGAGAAAGTCGCCATAAGGCAAGTAAGTATTATTACAAGTAATTTCACCAAACGGAACCCTGAGGGACTCTCACTGCCACCCTCACCTTGGTGGTCGGGCTTACTGATTCTGCGGCCACTTATCGGTCGTTCGCCTGGATAACCCCACGGATCTTCCCGTGCTTCTGTGTGGCGCACACCAGACGAACATTAACATGCGGACTACTGGCAGTTTTTACGCTCACGAGATAGAGGAACTTCCCGCCGGAGCACGTTTTTATGGTCCAAAGAAGCGGGTCGTAGGCTTGAGGTGTGTTCCGTACCCTTGGTGGATACAAAAAATGAAGTTGGTTTCACTCGCCTACTGCAGTATTATTTCTATATTATTGTCGATAATGATGACGAGGAATGGTTTTCCAATACGAGGACTACAATTATGAACCATCAACGCTAGAATTATTCGCAAAACTTTCCAAACTTATTGGATCAACGCTAGATAAGTTAGCCAGGATGTCCCATATTTTGTAACCCAGTGCTTCTATAAGGGTTCCTTTTGTGGGTCGAAATATGTAGACTAATAATTCGGTGCCTGTAATTCGTCCAAGACATCCCAGCCAGTTGAAGCTGCACTCCTTGTAGGGATAAGAAGCTTCAGGCTGATGTACGTAAAATAGCCCCTAATGAGTGGCCACGCTCTGTAATCCATCACGGTTGTTTTGCAAACATCATAAGCATAGACCCTATGCTTTCTGATGCGGTTTGGAGCACTCATTTGTCTCACACTGCCATTAATTCGCGAAACTTTCCAAACTCACTTGATATCTCATTTGTATTGTCGTCTTCAGCCTAAAATGCTTTCCTGTCCATTTCTGAAGAAGCTCTCTCCTGCCGCCATTCAGAAAGATTTTCAGCAAATATCTGGGCTTATTCCGAAGTGTCCATTCGCAAGACGGTTGTTTGAAAAAACCGATTTCAACTTTGCACGCTACTGCTCTTCACTTGCTGCAAATGCTGAGTCGAAACCGGAATCGTCCGTCGCTTGCAGTAAGTTTTTCCCTAGATTTTCTTGACATTAGCTTCCAGTAGTCTTTTCCGTTTTCATTTTTGTTGTGTGTTTTGTTCGGTTCATGAACTGTCACTTCGAATCTTAAGGCACAATCATGTTTGAGCACAGCAACCGTTGCACAGACTTGGCTTTCTGTGTGAGATTTCTTTCCGACCGGAGTGTGTACAACAAGCCGCTCAACAATATTTATCCTTTCCTTCATTGTGACAGTGCATTAAAGTACTTGTGGGGATCGTAGTATTTACTAACTTCCCGAAAACCATATTTCCATCATTCAAGTCACCGTTAACTACCCTTCGTCCACTTTTTGGGGGTACGTGAAGGAGCAGCTGTGTATAATAACCTTGGATATGAAAAAAAATGAAAATAAAAATAAATCGTTCAGCTGTAGCACCCTTTCGTTGCCTAGCTGCCACGCCACACAGAGGCACGAGGGCTGGGAAGGTCCGTGGCTCGAACCCGACCTTAAACTATGCCCACTTGAATTCGGTACACTGGTTGTTCCAGAGACTTGGAACATGGATCCAGCTTGTAATGCCTAAACTACGGAAGTGTAGGATAAATGTCGTCGGTTTCATCTCCACCGTATTGGTTATTTTATCACTTTTTTATTTTTTGTCTTATTTACCCCCATGCTACTGCTTTGTGGTTCAGAAACCCGGCGTATGTGCTCAGGAGGTATAAGGAAACTTTCATTTTTTCGCCAGCATATTGGAAGCGTTGTCTGTCCGGTGAGAACACCGGACCAGTAATTCCCAGTTATATCGGTTCACAAAGATCAGTCCTTATTTTGGGTTGTGATCTGACAATTAGCATTCATATTGTCTCCATCTGTGTGTGTTGTCCCGTTATTAAATACATCTGATTCGATTGTCAACGTCAAGTCTCCATAGGTAAGAGAAATCCAGTATGAAGTTCGAGGTAATAGAGCGCCTAATTCAGACGACTTGTGTTCTTCTCTCATCCGGAAAAGATTGCCCTACAGCTAGCATGGCCTATAAGAATTCAAGCGGAAAAGGAAATTGTACAACACCAAACGTATCTTAGAAGTTGCATTAGTTTTGATGGTAGTGTAACAGACGAATTCAACGCATGAATCCCATAGACCGGAATTGAACTTGTCAATTTGCACCACTTGTGGCATCAAAAAGACATATCACTGGGTACAGTGGATGCGTACATCGGACTGCAGTGTGGGCTTTATTGTTCTGCAGCCCTGGGACTTCATCACTTAGAACTGAGGATCTGAGACGTTTTCAGGTTTTTGACCAACGGTGCCTGAAAACTATACTTGGAATCGGCTTGATTAAACGAATTGTTCGTTAGTTGATCAGGAAACAGGTCTTTAGTGAAGCAAAAGGTGATGCAAGTGATGCATCAAACACTTCAAGCCAAGGTGGCTGTCATGTGTTACGCATGCTGAGTTACCATCTATCGAGAAAAGCGTTGCCTTTTATGCCTAATTTCGAGTGACGGAAACATAGAAGTGGACAGAATATAACTCGAAAGAAGGAAATGGAAGATGTTTCGAAAAACCTGCATGCTGTTTGTACTTCTTGTCTTCCACATGACCCTCTGCTTGATAAGAGGTATTGAAAGATATGGTTGCCAACTCATGTCAGTGGCGTTCATGCTCAGTTTCTATCCAGATTGTGGTAAAGGTGGTTACATCTCGGATGCTCGTGGTAGATTATCTCTGGGTTTCACTACCCCGACTCGTTTTTCCTCTTTCTATTACCAGATTCACTCAGATACACTTATATGGTTGTGTGTGGAGCACCACTGTTCTTTTCGTTTCAGAACAGCTTGATAAACAATCGGTAGTTTTTATTTGGGCAACGTTTCGCTTTTGACACAAAAGCTAGTGTGAAAATCCGAAGAGGATTGACTTGCTGATTGGTTCCCCGTCTGCCTTATAACCTGGCCAATTGGTGACCTGCTCACTTGGCCTGATGAAGCTTTTGTGTCAAAAGCGAAGCGTTGCCCAAATAAAAACTACCGATTGTTTATCAAGCTCTTCTGAAACGATGACTTCTCAATCGGTTCCAAACCTTTTCCAATTGATTGAAAACACCACTGTTCTTGTTTCGTGTTCCTATCAGTGACGATAATGGAAAGTCTGAAGTGAAAGTAGAATACCGACATACTGCAACACTTTCCCGGTGACTGCGGTTTTCAAACGTCGCGAGGACATTGTGCAACAACCCTCAATGTAGTGTGTGCTGTTTGGCTTCTTGCGCAGGTTGCTCTCTGATCTGGAACACTGGACTCTTGAGACTCAGGCTGTTTTTCGCCCATGTAGAGGTTACATCAACCCGTGTTCACCTTCCGCCAAAGTTTTGAACCACCACATTTCTTCTGAAGACCAATAATTGTTTTTGTTGGCCTGAAGCTACTTTTGACTCCGCCGACGTCACAAACAATGGTAATACGACTGGTTCAGAACCTAATAATGTGGCAAAAATGAAGATAATAAGTTACCAGTAGTGAGTTCGGCGGTATCCTAAAGTGGATGAATTTCCGATGGAATGAAGGCCAACATTTCAGGATTTCGTTCCACCAAGTTTGATTTGCCTCAATCTGCACAAGCTTTGCAGGCAGGGAAACGACGGTTGCTTAACACGGAGCACTGATCTAAGAAGCGGTTCTTTTTCCTTACTGTATGATGAAATATCAGTGAACCACTGGGGAGAGACAAGGGGACTGAACAGGAATGTAGTGTTCCTGGGAAAACCAACCAGATTATCTCCAAATGTAGATTTTCACTTACTGCCAGGTGATTTTGGGAAAAGGCTGGGGGAGACCCCTTGCGAGAATGATGGACATTGAGTTGGTTAACGAATTGGACATGACGAATTTGAAAGAGAACATATTTGAGAGGGTGAGCGAGAAAATGAAGCCTTCTGTGGGCTTGGATTGCAATTAATTTCACATGCGGGGTCCAATGGAGACTGTTCTAGAGGGAGAGACCAATAAGAAGGCAGTTGGACGATAGGCGGTTTCTGTTAGAATCAATAGACAACATAGTTGAATATAGCTGCGTTCATAAATCCAAAAGCATGGATATTTATGTGATCAGGGTTCATTCTACCGATGAAATTCACACGGTGTTACTAATCCTAAATGAGACAGGTCTTTGAGATGTATAAATGTCGCGAACGTGGAGAGTTGCGTCTTCTACAAAAGTGTGGTTACACTCAGAAGCAAGAGACCGTTATTTGCCGGAGGAAACAGCAAAGCCTTGGGAAACACCTGCGTTAACTTTTGGATCTGGGAGACGGCATCTGCAGATCGTAACCGATTTTGGTGGTTTTCTAGAAAGTTTTCAGTCCAGTTTTCAGAGTCGGGATATAAACAATACATGTGATACATGTTCCAATAGGTTACCAGTAAAGCGTCGCCTCCTGAGCCCATGTTCGTCGCTTAGGTAGCCGTTGTTTTTTAGGTCATCTAGTTGTTTGCCGTGATTGACCACAGAACGCCAAATAGAGTAGGGCTGGTAGAGGTGGGGGGTAGCTGTCCAACCACTATGAGTCACGATTGGGTATAGAGAGTACATGGGGGCTATCTCAAGTTTACGGAACTACGCTGGAAGAGGGGAAATGACAGGGGAGACAAAACGTTCTAGCGGGCTCTGAAGCACCGGTACGAAACAAAATAGGACGGCATTATTCGCACTAGGAGGCTTGGAGGCGTTTTGCAACAGTAGATACTGGTGGGTAATGGGAAGTAGTTTGGAGTTTCCGGATGGACTAGGACGGCATTTGGTAGAAAAATGATGAAGGCTGAGGAAAGACGTTAGGCAAATATTACGTTCTTTTTCCTGCATGAGCGAGTTCAAGAGCCACCCATCAGGGTTAGAAGGACGGGAGGAGGAACAAGAATTCCGACTGATTGCTTCTGTAGGGCTCCAGGAGTATCGAGCTCAGGCAGATGTACTGAGCACCTGATTGACCTTGCTACCGACGAATATACCTTTAGCATTGCTGATTATGGGAGTATAGGGGCTGTGGGTAACTTATCATTTGAAGAGGAGGGGCTCGTTGAAGAGGCAGCCACCACAAGGGTAAAAGCTAAAAAGTTACCACATGCCATCCGAATCGGCTGGCAAGTGGAGCCAAAAAACGTTGATGCTTGAAGCCCTGCGAAAATTAAGTAAAAGCAGGCATTGACTTGGAAATCGCGTCGAAGACGACCGCGGTCGGAACCACTCCGAGAGCGATGGACACAGTAGCAACAAGCGTCTTACTATTTGGTTTCGTAGTCGAGGTGTGAACACCGAAGAACTGCAGCCGATCCCTTGTAAGTCTGAACTAACTGAAATGTCAGCTAGAAAAATGGGTTTCGGTCAAAAATAGAACACTTAGTGCTCGTAAGCGAAAACGGTGCGCAGAGTTACCATAGCAATTGATATCCTGAACCTCGGTGAGCACACGGTCAAGCAACTCATTAGGCTTCCGAGGGCACAAATGAGATCCACTTCTCAGCAAGTCAGAGCGGTTGATTCGCCACACCCAGTACATGTAAAAAAGCTACTGTGTCAGTAAGCCTCGCCAAAGCGCATGGCTGATTTTGAGCATTCATGGTGATCTGTCCAACCCAAAAGTCTTCCCATGACCGACACCAGAAATCTCTGCTGGTGGGCGAAAATCAGGACTTGGGAAAGAGCTCAGTCTTTTCAGACGTATTTTATTACTCAACGTTTACGTCAACTCGAGGAACCTTCACCCGGAATGAAAGACTTGAAATAATTACGTACGAGATAAGAGGACGTTTATCATTTAACATCAGAATTGAAACACCCAATGTTGTATGCGCTATTCTCTTTGATCATGTTCATGCTTGAAGTTGTGGGTTGTGTTGAGTTTGAGGGAGCTACATCCGCATGTTCCTGTTTTCTATTATTCACCGGTGTTAGCGACACCGCAGCTATTTGTTAGCCATCAATTATGTTAACAAATCCAGATTGAGCATGAATTTCTAGATGTTGCTATCGCACACGGCACGCGGAGAGTCACCGTGCAAAGCTCTAGAAAATCATGCTCATTCATACTCAACAGAACTGACGGACAGCACTAATTTACCATAGAAAACAGAACATGCTGATTTGTGTTCGCAGGTCTCAGCACAACCCACACGTCCAAACGTGAACTTGACTAAGCAGACTAGCACGTGGAATGTTTACTGTTTCGGTTTTGACACCAACTTACACATGTGTTCTCTTGTCTCCTATGTGATTTTGGTCAGTTTGCTTCAGTTCAATTTTGTGAGCTCGAGGTAGCTGCTTCGAGGCCCCTGCCCTGGTTTCCCTGGTAGTTTTTCATATTACATGTAAATTTATCTATAGATTTGAGCTCAAATTTGGTGGTTGTTAGATCTTGTTCAAGGATGATAAAAGGTAAAAAACAGTTGCCTGGCCATTCACAGGTAGTCAAATCCCTGCATGGTCTGACACATTGAAGTTCTTCACGTTTAGGAATCCCTGTAGGTCTTTGCTTAACTGCTACAGTTTCGTGTTTTTCACTTGTCACAACGACCCCGTCCTAAAATCCTTTTCTCGGCTTGTGTTTATATGGAGACAATACTGATATTTCGCTCGTGGTAATGAACCCCTTCTTTCCGTGTCAATTCCAACCTACATAGAGGATGTTTCGGAGTGTGTTTTCAAGAAATGTCCATACTCCTCGCCACTGCCCCTTGCGCGAACATCGGAGTCAAATGCACCCGGCAAGGCCTCAAATGTTGGACAGTGCCTTCACGATGCTCAGCAGGGATGTATGATCGAGCACCTCACGGATGCAAGTGGTACGTCATGTCTTCACCACTTCTGAATTTCCGGTTGCTGCTGGCCACCGGTCAGGCATACAACTTTTAGCTCCTTTGTTCCATTTGGATTTTAAGCTATCGCACATACCTCTATATTCTCATGTAGTCGAGTCACCTCTTTTATTTTCTTCTCTGGAACGTTCTTCCACCTAGGTAAGCCCATTCCAAAAACTTGTGCTCTGTTTGAGGGCTGGCAGGCAAGCAAACTGGCCCGTTCGAATCAGAATTTGCCCCCTAGTACGTTACCCCAGTCATTAATGGATCAGTTCAAGTTGAAATCCAGCCGTGGATTTGATTACTCTGGATTTTGTCAGTCTGAAATAGAACGGAAGAAAAAGGATGCAACCTATCGGGTGTTCCGACGTGTGCTTCGCGATGCAAACGAATTCCCTTTGGCCGACGACTTCTCGACTGGGGCACGACGACGCGTAGCCATATGGTGCTCAAACGACTATCTGGGTATGAGTTGGCACCCGAAGGTACAGGAAGCTGCAATGTGAGTTTGTGGAACTCTGGACTTACCGTGTGTCTTTTCAGTTATCCGTGCGAATTTATGAAATTTCATTCGAATCTGTTTGAGGTATCGGTTGTTTCTGCCCTAGGTTAAAGCCGCTCAAAATACTGACAGGGAGAAACTGTGAACCCTAGAAATGACCTGACCGATTCCGGTCAGTGGACAAGGGTCATTTCATTCCCGTTTGTCATGATAGTGGTTTATACCAGGCAGATACGATAGTGGCGTTCTAGATAATACTTCTTTTGGAGATCATCTCCGCGAAGCCATCGCTTGCTACTAGTCTTCGTGTCGATTTTTATTTTAGTGATCTCTTGCGGATGCATTCGATATGGTCCAAGCAATGACCTGCCGAAATCAACGCTATTTATGATAGCCATTGTACCGCACAGTGCTTTCATTTGAGTAATATTCACATCAGGTCTAACGCCCTGAGAGCAGTCATCTATGAGGGCAGGTTTTACTTGCCATCAGGATGAAACTTATTCTCCCAGTATCTACATGCATCTGACTTCATCTGTTTGTCGAATCTTGATGGTTCCGTCGTCTGTTTGTTGTTCTTTAATTGAGCAGTTCGTTGTCTTTTTACCCCACATATGGATCAGATTTCGACCCTGGAGTTGGTAGAAGGGACAGTTCTTACGAACAATATTTGAACAGTAGTAGCGCACTCTGCGAGAAAATACTCTACACATCTATTTATTTCTGGCTACAGCAATGCCATTCAGCGGCATGGCGTTGGATCAGGTGGGACACGGAACATTTCTGGCAATTCGATACTTCACGAGGCCCTGGAATCCGAATTAGCTGACCTGCATGGCAAGCCTTCTGCTCTCCTGTTTACCAGCTGCTATGTGGCGAATGAAGCGAGTTTGCATACCCTTGGAGTCCGCCTACCAACCGTGACCATTGTTTCGGATGCCGGTAACCACGCTTCCATGATTCATGGAATACGAACTAGCCGAGCGCCCAAAATGATTTACCGCCACAACGACGTGGGTCACTTGACCAGCATGCTCGCAGAACTTCCGCTGGACGCTCCAAAGGTGGTTGCTTTCGAGACGGTGCATTCAATGACAGGTAATGGTGCTGGCAGGGGTTTCGCTGTTATGTTTTAGGATACAAACCCTTCATTCATGGATTCCCGGGGTTCACTGCACATCGTCCGAAGTCTGGACAAACTAACATGGCGGTGATGTTAGAGAATAGAAGGCTAATTCATTTTTTGGCTGGAAATCGAGTCTTTCTCTAGTTTTATAACTGATAAACTGATAACTAACGCATCCATACCGATTGATCTATACATTACCGCGATACTTTTCGTATGTGTCGTATGTATACTCATAATGAAGCTACGGTACAAAATGTCAATCGGTAACATACCAGGGTAAAATCGCAGTGTACTGATGACAGCTGTATTTTGATTGACTCATTGTCCGAACAGGTGGCCTACCACCCGAAATTCACAGTCAAAGCTGAATGGTTCACACATGAAGTGGCGGAGACGGTCAGTTGTATATACATGTCACACGCGCACATGCGACTAAATGGATGGCGGTCTATCTCTTACACAAGTATGCCAAAACCGTATGAGCTAACGGTATTTGTCTTTATCAGAGTACTTTATTGAGTAGTTCGTTTTCATTCAGAAGCTCTGTGTTATGTCCTCAGTGGGAGCCTACGAAACTACAGGCACCTTTGTTCTGGCACTGTGTTTACGTTGTTTCACCCACCCGAAAAGTTTCCTGCAATATGGGCTGTAATCCTAGAGGGACTAGTTCAACCTATCCACGCGAAACTTACCACTGAATTTGTGGACATAATACAACCCTATCCAAAAAAGAAAAAAAATTCAGGACCATGAGGCCTGTTACTCAAAGAAACGCGCAAAATGTCTGTCGCAACAGTTAGTTACTTTTTTGTCATAGTGGAGAGGATATTTGGGCGCTGAATCGAGCATTCCCTTGACAACCGTAACTATAGTAAATGAGTTTGATAGCTAGAATATATCGCAGTACATCAAAAAATATACCAGGTTCGGAGGTAGTTCGTTTAGATGTTCTATTTATTTCACAGTAATGGTTACGTTAACTGTTAATTCAGCTGTAACGGGCCAAGTTATTGGTTTGTCACGTCACTAGGAACGAGATATTTCTGTCTGTTGCAGGTAAATTATGGCCCATCCAGCTTGGTCAACAAGTCAGGGAGCGCTCCAAATGATCATCATCGACAGCATGACATCAGTGTTCAACACCGATGCTTCACTGATCTAAAGATAACCAAGGAAGGGGTTATCTAAAAATAATGAACCCACAGGAGACCTTACTTGTTGCGTGAAGATACATGTGTAGGCTGTGCACCACCCAGAACTCAGATTGCCAATGCGATAACAAAACGCATACAGCCACAATCTGTTCAGAGTGCATTCTAAAAATAATACACTTAGATGAAAATTAGTCATGTAACCGGGATTGATATTCAAAATGGATTATGGTTTTCGTTTCTTAGAGATTTAGAAAATAATCGGGGGGCTATGTTGCTGAGCCCAGTTTGACACAAGAGTTCCTCAGACCAGGTCTTGGGTTACAAGTTTCAGGGCAGACGAAGAACCCAGTAACAAGACCTTTCAATTTTGGCTGTCGGCTGTGGGTCTGTCAGTTAATTTGAGTGATTCATGCGAATTGGAACTAGGTTTTGGGGCCTGGCTCTTCTTGTCTGTGACATTCCAGTTGAAGATTCCTCTTGAGTTTCGCTTTGAACTTTTGTCGGTTTGTGTGGGTGAGTTGGTGCTACGACAAGTGGATATGCGGCAGTGGGCTGTGCGAGTTTTTTCGGATTCTCTATATTGGACGGCCTGGGTTTTAAATTGTTACTCCAAGTCCGTTTGAGGAAATCAGCTACATACCTTCGAAATCCATACAAATTTGCCAGTAAATTCGCAGTACTTTCATTGAAGACGAAGCCCTCATTAATTTTAATGCACACGAACGCTTTGTAAGTAGTCGGACGGTTGTCACTAGCAGCTAGGGTTGCGAGATTTCACACAGCGACAAACAAGGAGAACATTGGTTTTGATATAAAGGTCCAGTAAATAGGGACTAGAACAACAGTCATTGCGTACAAAGCAGGAACATGAGGTATTTCAAAGGGTGTTAAACGCAGGAACAGCGTCGCTCTCATTGTACGATGGCCTCTCGGTTGAAACAAATCGAAACTATCTGTACGAAGTTTTGCGTAGTACAGATAGCCAGGTAATCACGTGTTAGAACCGGTGAGCTCAGTTTAGGAAGAAAGACTCCCGGAAAATGTCGACGACTATCACGTGCTGGTAGAAGAGGCGCCGATAAACACAGCAGATTTAAAACTGAGGCGGAGAGTGCGATCCATGTTGCGGATGACCAATGACTTAGGCATCTCAGGTAATAAAGAGCGGAACGCTGGAGAGTGTGGAAAGCCGTTTTATATCACCTGAATTGACACGTAGCAGCACGCAACTGTCTCTCAAGAGTGGTCGACTACCTGGCGTTCAACAATTGACCGGTATTGAGAAATCATTGCTTAACATCATTACATTAGACGATACTATTTGAATGACTGCGATCTACGGACGAACAGGCGGAAAGTTAAAAACGTTGAGGCAACAAACAACAGCAGATTCGTCCCAAGATCACGAAGGTTGTACATGCCCTTTTCAATCAATGGGAAGAAAATGGGTATGTTGGTCTTATCAACATCCATGCATTATACTGATTGTACGAGGAGTCTATTCATAAAGTTAAACAAAGAGTGAATACGTCAAGATGCAACTTAACAACAGACTTCATCAAAAATGTGCTTGTCAGATAAAACCAAAGTTTCGGCCAACCCAGCAAACTGACCCTCCATAATAACCAGTCTGACCAGGTCCCACGGACTGCCCTAAAGGCAAGACTTGAACATTAATGGTAACGTCTTCTCGAATGTCGTGTCAGAGATGGGCGGTAAATATCCCGCTTGATGATATTTTATATTATGGTACGACGGACGCTTGCATTTGATCACGTCCGTGACTTTTCGCGAGTACTTTTACCACTAACCTATTTAGTCTACAGCTACCGACACATGCAACAGTAGATTGTGGAGTGATCTCTATATGTGGGAAATTGTCTGCTGTTGCATACCTCACTCCGAGCATGTGCACTTAAGTAAAAAGTGACACGTTTTTTGCCTCAACTGACGCTCAGCTCAGTTCTCATGGGTAAAATACCATCTATTTCAGGCGATGTATGTCCGCTGGAACAGCTTTTGGATGCCGCCGAGGCTCGAAATGCACTCACTTTCGTCGACGAGGTCCATGCTGTTGGATTATATGGTGCACACGGGGCCGGTGTTGCTGAGCGCGACGGCCAGATGCATCGGATAGACGCAATCACGGGAACGCTGGGAAAGGTAATTGTTGATACGTTTGTCAGACTGCATAGCTATGCTTAATAGACCAGACCACCCACCAGCACCAGGCTTTTGGTGCGGAGGAAGCCGGGCTATCAAACGTAATTTCTGTGGCGTCGCCAAGTCTCCTTAAATCACCCCTTCTACGTACCCAAAAAGACCAGGTTTATCGTTTCTCACAATGTTTACCAATAATTCAGTGAATTATCTGCGGTGGCTGAGTTGGCCTATGTATCTTTTCGTCTCTCCTTCCTAACTCAGGCATTCGCTAGTGTCGGTGGATACCTCGCTGGGAGTCAGGAGCTGGTTGATATGATTCGGTCATACGCTTCTGGATTCATATTCACGACTTCCTTACCGCCGCCAACACTGGCGGCCGCACGGGCGAGCATCGCAATACTGAAATCTGAGGAAGGACGACAGCTTCGCGCGGAACACCAAAAAAGAGTCGCTGTAGTGCGTCAAAGGCTACAAGATGAAGGGCTTCCCGTACTCGACGCACCTTCCCATATTTTACCACTGCATGTAAGTATGGTTACCATAGTAGACCTCATGAAAAACGTCCCTACGAGAAATGCTGGCTTGTTTTTGTAATTAGTGGTTGAACCCGACAATATAAACCCTGCATTTCATTTCGAGTTCACGAACAATGTGGTCTGATACTTTTGCGATCAGGATCCGCCAACTTATTGCATTAGATAAGAACCAGGGGCTAGTTCTATATCGCTTACGAAATGTCATCACACCACGAAAAAGCCCAATACTCCCGCTATATTTGACCATTAATCGAATTGTTGAGGACGCCACAGGAAAGATCCCAGTCCTGTTCATGCCGCGGAATGCTCACCATATCCGCTAGCTAGGGTCTCCGTCGTCACTCATGGATGAATATGCTGCCAATTCTTGTGCCAGCCGCCAGTCAACCGGGAAAATCCATATTATATGTACCCTAGTCGGGTGTGGTGCGACCGCGGTCACCTCTGAGTTATGAGAACCTTCGAAAGGAGTGTATCTTGTTTTTGAAGTCAAAGATGGCGCAATGTATATAGTGAAGCCTCCGTGGCGACCGCTGACAGAAAAGAAAATGGAGAAGGGGATAGCGGACCGCTATTGTTGTTAGTATCACTGCTCCATAAGTACCCTGAGAGAAATTCGGCAGTGCCCATTAGAGAGGAGTTTAACTATGTACACATAGGTGAGGTCAAGTGAGTTTGTTTTTATTCGTGTGTGGTGGCAGAAGGTCCAATGCTATGTACACGAAAGCATTTGCTGACCACCTGCTACCCGATGCCATTCAGTTTCTACGCACTGTATTGTTCCAAGGTGAGCATCAAACAAATTTGGCTGGCGAACGATTCCGTTGACGAGTGGCAGGTTAGAATCAAGTATATATTCCCAGACTGCATCCATTATAGCGGCCGTTTGAATTCGACATTTAGCACTTTAGGGACCAGTCAGTCTTCACTTTTGTGCTACTGGCTTAAAATCCATTCGAGTTGATTGTATTTCTTACTAAGCGTTCATTGTTGGCGTGTCCCTTGTAGGTTGGAGATGCTGAGTTATGTACCCGGATTTCTGTGGAGCTGCTTGCAGACCACAATATCTATGTGCAATCGATCAACTACCCAACAGTAGACAGAGGAGACGAGCGCCTTCGAATCGCCCCAACGCCCCATCACACTGATGTGTTGACAGAACAATTGGTCGAGTCCCTATGCACCATTTGGAGGAAATACTCGTTGCCACTTGTCTCACATTCGAAACAACGCGCCGCACCTGCCACTGCTGCTTGAGGAAATAATTATAGACTTCTGGATTCGTATGTAGTTATCATAGTTTTGTCCTTTACTCCCCACTCGTAGCCTATGATGTCTATCTTTTCAGCTTCTGTAACTTCTATGGAAAGAGAAATAAACGCTCAGATGTCATTAATGACGTATGCATTCAAATATACAGATTGGAAACGAGGGGGATACAGACCAAATTTAGTCCGAAATGGGTCGTTTGTACCAAAACCGTGCTCTGTTGTCGTCACTGCAGGACATGAACGCAGCTGTAGTCGGAGAATGTACAAAGCAGCGTATTGGGCCGTTGTGATCTGACAGTAGACAATAGGAAGGTGAGAGTTGCAAACATTGTCTAAGCCTTTCTGTGAGATTTTATATAGTAGAACCTAGTTTCCGGCGACCAACCGGACGAAATCGGTTGCTCCAGAAAGTGCACTATTATCCGGGGCTTCCCCCTGAATAAAAAATACTTCGTTATGAGATTAATGTTCGTTTTTTGGTTTCATATGAGAAGCAGTATATCCGATCGCGTTGGAACAAACTCACTTCGGCCCTTGTCACCTAAAGCACAACGCAAACTGTGCTAGACCAACCGAAGACATCATCATCATCATTGTCAGCTGTAAGAACCGCGTACTGGTCGTACACTGGTTGTAGCTGCCACAGTTTCGTTCACCGATGATTTGAGGGGGGGGGTAGGTAGCTGAGCATTGCACGCGCGAGCTGGTAAATTGGTGCATAAATCTGGCACTTTCAGTGCGTTTGCAAGCGGGGGGTGGGTGGAAAAGGAGCTATGCATTGAAGGCAATAGCTTTGATGCATGAGCGCCATTGAGGGCGCGACTGGCCCATGTCTGATGTGGCCCGTCTCGGGGTCCCCATCCAGGAAGACGGCAGTGACCAGCGCAGCTGAGTTTGCTGGTAATGGCTTTCATACTTCGCTCCCAAGTCATTGTTTGACCGCCTCTGGCTCTCTTCCACCCTTCACATGGTTGGGCGAAAACAGCCCTTCGAGGAAGTCGGTCGACTGGCATACGCAGCACGTGGCCAAGCCAACGCAACCTATGGAGCGTGATCAGTTCATCTATCGAGGGTGAGTTATTTCTCCCGAATACCATTCGACGTACTTCAGAATTGCTGATCCGGTGTTCCCACCAGATTCGGGCAATGCTCCGAATACATCGATGGTCAAATACTGAAAGTTTTTTGACGTCCTCGGCGCGCAGCGACCAGGATTCTGATCCATATAGTAATATGGAGCGCACCGCAGCATTATAAACTCGACCCTTGACAGAGAAGCTGATGTCACGCCTACGCCACAGGTGACGTAGGTTCGCAA